GCGGGAGCCACTAAGCGCCTTTGCTGCAGACCCGGGCGCTTGGTTGCTCCCGCGATGCAAATTCCCCCCCCTCCCACCGAGGTCGACCGCTGCCCTGCTGAGCCTTACCAGGTATCAACCTCACCGCACGTCACTGCTTCAGACCAGAGGTGGGTTCCTACTAGTTCGGTCCAGCTTAGCCAAGTAGGTAGTAACTCAGCCAGCCACGTCCTCGAACCAATTCTATTGGTGGCACAATTTTTTTTACTACTGTGCATGCGCGCGTAGCGCGTCCCTGAGCAGTAATAGAAGCTGGAACTCACCCTTGCTTCAGACTTCTACTAGCCTACTTTAGGATCTAAGAAATACCTTCCAATGACAGTACGAGTAGTTCCTGATACATGTGGTAAAAGGGAACAAGGTAAAATGTGGTAATTTTTGACATAACTGCTCTCAAAATTCCCATTGTAGTCTCCAGAAAGAAACAGGCTATTAAGCAAGCAATAAGAAAAGAGGATTCTTCTCAAAAGATTCATGGCTGGTACATTTTTTCATCCCTTTTATGTTCTTTGTGTCCCTGTGATTTTAGGAAATGATGATAACCTTAACTCCATCTTTTACGAGCACCTAACAAGATCTCTGCAGGAGACCCTTTGTGGAGATTTGATTCTTGGACGCTGGGGAAACTACAGTTCCGGGGACTGCTTTATTTTGGCATCTGATTACTTAAATGCTTTTGTTCACTTGATAGAAATTGGAAATGGTCTTGTCACATTCCAGCTCAGAGGGCTAGAATTTCGAGGTAAGCCTTTTCCTTAGCTTAAAGAGCAGTGGTCAAGAAAAAGCAGAAAATTCAGTCATTTCATGCTCTTTGGAGATCTGAAATTTAGCATGACATTTGGGTAGCTGCTAAATCATTTCAGATTCTTTGACCCAAGGAGTTTGTGGTTTGTGTAACAAATACTACCAAAAAGTGACAGCCGGAGCAATTCTTTCCAGGGCCAAAATAGTTTTCATGCTCATATTATACCTGGTGTATTGCAAAACAGGGGATTAATATCTCATTCCACTGGGATTAAACATAATAGTGACCTGGTGACCCATTAGATACTATGTAATATGAAACCAACTTGCACCCCTGACTTTTCTATATTTATTTTAGATGTGAATACCACTAAACTCAATAGAGCCGAGGTGGTGCAGTGGTTAGGGTGCAGTACTGCAGCCACTTCAGCTGACTGCTAGTTCTGCAGCTCGATGATTCAAATCTCACTGGCTCAGGGTTGACTCAGCCTTCCATCCTTCTGAGGTAGATAAAATGAGGACCCAGATTGTGGAGGCAATTTGCTGACTCTGTAAACCACTTAGAGAGGGCTGAAAGCCCTATGAAGCAGTATATAAGTCTAACTGCTATTGCTATTGCTAATAGTATTTAGTGATTTCCCAAGGAACAGTGTATAAAGCTTCAGCCTTCATCATTAATAGCTCTTGTTTCCTGGTTCTATAGATTGCACTTTGCTTTTCTTTGCTTTTTTTCCCTCCTAGTGGAATCTATGCTTGATAATCTGGGATTATTTTTGTTATATGTGAATGTACATTCAGGGTTATTAGAGCTTTCTAATCTCTGTAACAAGAGACATAAAATGGCACACTTATGTAATAACAGAGTCTAAATATTTATGATGATTAATATGTTATCATCAGAGGTGGGTTGCTCCCGGTTCGGCCCGGTTCAGCTGAAACAATAGTGGTGATTTGGCCTGGGTTGCAGAATTGGCAGCAATCCTGGCTGGCCATGCCCCCAAACCAGTTCCCTGGTCTCTTCTACCGTGGCCGGCATGTTTCTGCGCATTCACAGAACAATCTAAAGTCAACTGCGCATGCACAAACAATACGTGGCGTGCATGCGAGAGAAGCGAGCCGCTACCAACCGGTACAGGAACCTACTCCTGGTTATCATCAATATGTTTCACCATGTGTTAGCTGAATAGTAGGTGTTTACATTTGCATAGCTCAAAATTATGCATATTTTGATTTTCATTTACTCAAAAATGAAATTTAGTCATCTATATAGTGGTCAGGGAGAAGAAGCTCTAAGGCTTCTGGTGATATTATTAATCAATAAACAAGAACATTTTTTTTTAAAAAGGATACAGGAAATAATCATAAAATATATTATCACCTCGGCATGCAGAGCATATATCCACATATCTATGTTGACTTAATAGTTTTGCCCTTATTAGTGAATGTATACTTTTTTTCCCCTTTCAATATATTTTTGGATTGGTTTATATTGCCTATGTCTGTCTTGCTTATACATATTCTCATTCTCCCTCTCCCTCCCTCCCTCCCTCTCTCTCTCTCCCCCCCCCTCCCTTGTGATATTTATTTTAAGTCATGAAGTGATATTGTTCGTAATTTTTAGGAACATTGATGTTCAATTGTTATAAGAATGATGTACAGTATAACTATTAACACAAATATTTCCTGTTTGTGTGGATTTCAGATAGCAGATTGAGGTTTAATCAGCACTAGTAATCTGATTTGTTATTCAAGCCAATACCTGTGCTTTTATAAATGTGTTATAAGAGATATATCATAGGACTGACTTTTGGGATTTGGGGTTAATGAAATTCAATTATAGGATTGTTCATCTATCCACCTACTTTCTCAGATCGTTTAGATCCAAGCGGGTTTGAAAAGACTGGATTTTATCGGAAGTAACAAAACCTTCTGTACAAAAGTTTCCTAATCGTTGTGACCTTACTGTTTAACTGGCATAGCCAGGATGTAAAACCAGAAAGGGTACTCTGCTTTTATGGTTAAGCCACTTAGAAAGCTGAGACTTGGCATGGACATCTGAATTGCATATCCCTCTTTCTACATTTAAGGCAAAGTATTTGGAAGTTATTGTTACTTTATTTAACTTTAGGCCATGGCATAGAATCTGACATGATTTACTTAGTAAGGTGAAATAAACAGTCTGTTCCTTAGCAGTTTCTGTTCAGTACAGAGTAATCAGTCCATTTTATTTATTGTCATAGCTCTCTCTTTGGTTGATTTAATTGCGGTGTATTAACTATTTGAAGGAGGACCTGCGGTTTTCTATGAAGAGCTTATTTGCATTGAGCTCTCCAGATACTGCCACCGTGATTATCCTGTGTTTCATTTCCAAGGGACTTATTGCCAGCAAAGGGAAGTGGAGGCTATAACAGAAGGAGATGAGGACAATGAAAATTGCTGCTGTTGTAAACCAGGCCATTTTCCTCACTTGCTCTCATGCAACGCAGCTTTCAACCTTCGATGGCTGACTTGGGAAATAACACGGACTCAGTACATTCTAGAAGGGTACAATATTATTGACAACAGCGCAGCCACCATGCTCCAAGTGTTTGACCTGAGAAGGATACTCATTAGATATTATATAAAGGTAATATGGTACAGCCATCTGCAGGAAAGCAGTCTGTTATTGATCTATTATTTTCATTTTATGTGGAATGGCCGCCCACTTGCAAAACAACTCTGAGCGGCTAATGGGATTTTTAAAAACAGGTAGCCCTTGGTTTACAACCACTCATTTAGTGACTGTGTGAAGTTACAACGGCCCTGGAAAAAGTGATTTCTGAAGATTTTTCACACAGTCACGTGATCAAAATTCAGGCACTTGGCCACTGGCAAGTATTTATGATGGTTGCAGAGTCCCCAGGGTCATGTGGTCCTGTTTTATGACTCTCTGGCAAGCAAAGTCAATGGGGAGGCCAGATTCACTTGACAATGGTGTTACTAATTTAACAACTGCAGGGATTCATTTAACAATTATAGCAATAAAAGTTATAAAATGGAACAAAAACTTGCTTAACAACTGTCTTGCTTAGCCACAGAAATTTTGGCCTCAATTGTGGTCATAAGACAAGGACTACCTGCACAATGCAAAAGCCACAATGAAAGAAAAAAAAATATGCTGTTTATTTTATTTCTTTCATTGTGGCTTTTGCAACACTCATATATTTACATTTACATCAGACTTATATCTCAGCCTTCCTCTTTTAAACATTCTTCTTTTTTTACTTTCCATCTGGGTTCACAACCAGATTTGAGTGAGGGGCTGTTTATCAAATTTTAAAGAATTCTTCTTAGGAAAGTGGGTCAGTTCCTCTAAGCTTTCTGCATATATTTGAAAATGTACTGCATGGCTACTGGAGATTATTTAAACCCTGCCTTCACATTTGCTTGTCAATTCAGAGAGAGAGAGAGAGAGAGAGAAAGAGAGGGAGGGAGGGAGAGCGCTAGCTCACAAAACTGCTTTTCAAAAAAGGGTGGTTCCCCCTCCCCCTATTGTGTTGTGTCAGCATAAATCTCCTTAAAAGGCATAGCATGCTTATATCTTTCTAAAGGCTAAAAAAAATATTAAAACTCTGCCTTTTGCACTGCATAGTGCATAGCCCATTCTCCAGGTTTAAATGCAAATTTAAATATAAAAACTGGAAGGGTGGTGTTCATAAATCTTAAGCAAGTATAACAACACTTCTATCATTAATCCTTTATAATGATTTAACGTTGTCTTTCTTGCAGTTTTCTATTTTATTATTATTATGCACTGTTGAATCATCTCTCCTGTTCCTCTGAACCATAAGCATGTATTCCTGCAAAGTCCCAGGAGTATAAAAAAAAAATAGAAGAAAGCATAGAGTAGAGGTACAATATGATACAGGTCTTACTTTATCCTCCATGGAGGCATTTCTCTAATGTCTGAAATAATTGAACATCTCCTAGTTCAATGTGTTACTAAAACTGCATTTCTGTTTTCATCTACAGAGCATTATATATTTTACTGCAAGCTCCCCCAAAATCCTGTCCTGGCTAAGAGATGAATCATTCCAGAAAACACTGCAGCCATTCTCCAAATGGCATTATATTGAGCGTGACCTTGCCATGTTTAGCATTAACATTGATGATGATTATGTCCCTTGCCTTCAAGGAATCACCAGAGCAAGTTTTTGTAGTGTTTACTTAGATTGGATTCAGTTCTGCGCTGGGAAAAGAGTGGAGGTGAGCATTTATTTATCAAGTTTATATAACCCCTTGTAGGTGGGGTTCTTATTAACAAATTTACAATATTATTTTCTTTTCTTTTTTAAAGGAAGATTATCATATTTAGTCCTAAATCGCTATCATAAATTTCCTAATATGTTAAAGATTTCCCAACAAATTAATCACTCCTCCCTAACCGGGTGCTTCCAAAAATGTTATTAAATGACATTTCCCATAATCCCCAGCCAGCACAATCAAAAGGAGAGATTGGATAAGGGTTATGGACTCTGTAGGTCATCTCATCTGGAGAACTCCAAATTGAAAAAGCTTGAAAGAGGGTGACTTTTAAAAGCTCCTTGAAAACTAAGGTTGAAAGACAATGAATTGGGGGAAATGGGAAAAAAGTATGGCATGGAGAAATTATTTTGTGTTCAAAGTGGGCAACCTGTTGTCCTCCAGATGTTTCTGACTAAAAAAAACCTCCTAGGAGTGCCTTGTGATTGATAGTGCTAATGAAGGTTGAATTTCCAAACATTTGGAGGACAGCTGTTGCACACCTTATGGTTATATATTTGATTTGTCAGTTATTAAAACTATCCTCCAAAATGGTTTTGACCAAGAAAATAAAATAATGTGCCAGATTGGACAAAAAAGAAGCAAAGAAGATGCTGGTAGTCAAACCCATATGGTCTTTTAAAAAACAATTAGAATAAATAAAATATGCCAAGTAAGTTGCCTACTATTAACCACTACTAATTAAACATTATGTTAAGTTGTAAAACTGAAGGATCCTTTTCTCAGAAATTACAATGGTACAATTTCTACGGAAGTTTACGTCTTTCAAGAGCCACAGCCAATCCAGGAAATAAAAGCAGGAGAAAGAGACCAGACTGAATCTACTTTCATTTACTGAGGCATAAGAAGGAGGGAAAAGAAAATACAGATTTTCAGGACTGTTATTACAGCCTATCTCAGTAAAGTAGCATTTGAGGCACACTTGTGGAAACTGTTTCCTGGTCTATCCTATCTTGAAGGACTAATAACTATATAGTAATGGACTGTTGCAATATCAGTGAGCTTTTGGTATGGCACTAAATATAAATATTACATGTTTTGCAGCCTGTAGAGTGTGATGAAGATTCTCCTTTAGTAACCCTTTCCTTTGCATTGTGCATTCTCGGTAGAAGAGCTCTGGGAACAGCATCACACAATATGGCCATCAGGTAATTTTGTTGTGTGACAATGCTTAAGACAGTAATAGCTTCCTAATGGCTCAGAAAAGTGTTCACTCATCCAAATGATTTGTTTTTCCATTCATCGTAAAGGAAGAAGTGCAAGAAAAAAAAACTGATTTTGAAATCAGTAACTGGGCAGCTTTTTCAGATGAATACGTACATCTTGAATAATTCTGTATTTGTAGCACAGGAGTACATAATGGAATGAATTCTTGAATTTCTGAATTTACCCTTACCATTTATTATCAATATAAAAACCTTTTGGAAACCAAAGTCTCTCAATGAATTGATGCAGCTGAAGTTATTTGGATATAGCCAAGATCCTTGTGGTATTAAAGTAATTTTGGTGGCAATTAATAAGCGTATTACTGCATAATTCCTGTAGGTTATACTCTCCATATACTGTATATCTCTGAAATATGTGCTACCAATACCAATTAGAGCATGGATGTCAAACTTGCCTCATCACGTAGTTGTCATGTGATGTATCATGATGGTTTTTCCCTTTGTGGAGCTGGGTGTGTGTGTGTGGCCTGACAAATCCGACCCACGGGCCACCATTTTGATACCCCAGAATTAGAGCCATCATAGCATATGAACACATTATATAAACAAAGGTATCTTTTTGAGTCCCACTTTCTAACAGTTAGCTGGATACTATACTTCTTAAAATGCTGCATAGATATTCACAAAATGTTTTTTTAATTTAAATAATCATAATATTAAATCATTAGAAATGTCCAATTCAGATGCTGAAGCTTTAATCATGCTAATGTCCAGACAATCAAAATTCCTTATCTCGTGTCCCCATCCTCTTGAATATCTATTCTAATAACTCTTTATCAATAGTGATTATAGCCTTATTATTTTGTACAGAACCTGTCTATTCTTGAAAAAAATACTGATTCTTTTTAATGAAACTTACTGCCTAATAAGTACATGCAAAATTGATGCCTTTTCCCTATTGTGCTGTTCACATTGGACCATCACTCACTTGCTTTGTTTTGAGAGGAAGTGGTTTATAATGTGTTTGTTTTTCATGGAACACCATAGTTATATACATCAATCTCATTTACATTATTTGGGAATTAAGTAGCAAAGTGTTGATATTACACATCAATTTCTACTAAGTAAGATATCTATACTGTTGACAGTCATTAGGAAACCATTACCATTACAGGGCAAAATGAATGTTTAGGGAGAAATGCTAAATTGGATATTACATCAGAAGTGAATTTTATATTATATATGTGAGCTAGTAATTTGCATTCATTTACACATGAATTATGTCTAATCAGTTTAGGAAAAGAGTTTAAAGGCAAGACATGCTGGCAATATTCTTCTGGAATGTATGCAAATAATGTTTGATTTACCTGTCACTGTAAATGTCAGAAGATGGCAAACATTGTCTTTTAAATTGTGCGGTGTATCCAACAATTAATAGGGCATCTGCATTAAGTTCTGTTGACCTTCTTCAGTGCAAATCAGAGAGCCTAGCATTATATCTTCAAAAGAGGGATTTGTAGTTATCTATCCTTAGTCGGTTTGGTCAAGTGGTTAAGGCATCAGGTTGGAAAGTAAAAGATCATGAGTTCAAGTCCTGCCTTAGTTATGAAAGTCACATGGGTGATCTTGGGCTACTTATTTTATTTCAGTCCAGTTTACCACAACAACAGGGTTGTTGTTGTGGTGAAAATAGAAGGAAGAAGGTATGTTGGATGTATTCACCACCTTGATTTATTTGTAAAAAAAAATAACAATAAAGGTGGGAAGTAAATAAATGTCCCCAAAGGATTTAATTAAATCTCAAGAGAAGAAGTTCTTCCATTTACCACGAGTGCAGTATCCCATCTTTGAATCATGTTGGAAAATTTCCTTATCAAGTTTTGAGAAATCATTCGGGATGAAAAATTTCAAAAAATCATTTATCTTCCTTTGAGAAGGAGCCCTTCAAAATGGGGGGGCGGAAAGTCATAATTGTTTTTTTTAATTTGTTCATTCCTTTGTGTAGCCATTTCATCCACAGTATTTCCAAAAGCTCATGATCTAATGCAAACACTAAGTCTACAGTTGCAACTACATTAAAGCATTTACAGCAGGTCACCAGCCAAAAAACCTCCCCAACATTCCCACGGAGTCTTAGTAGGCAGAAAGATTGCAAAGAAAAAAAAATAAAGTTTTCATTATAGAATCTTGCAAATTGGATATGTGTGCTTGGCGTTCATTTATCAGTAAGGATATTAAAGTAGTGCCTCCCAATTGCCTTTGATCCTTTTTCCGAGTCTTGGTTTAATGGGTAAGCTACTAATTGCTTATTTGATTCCACAAAAAACGTCCATCTGTTCTTGTTCTGCAATATTTTGGAAACATCCATTTTCTTTCCCAGGCTCAGGGAGTTCCATCACAACTACTATGAAAGAGATCTTATTTTCAACAGCTGTAATGGAAACTGAATCTGTGAGTAATTAATATGATTGTTTACAGCTTAGACTCCTTCCTCCATGGCCTCCATGCCTTGTTCAAAGGAGATTTTCGAATTACATCAAGAGATGAATGGGTGTTTGCCGATATGGACCTCTTGCATCAAGTTGTTGCTCCTGCAATTAGAATGTCATTGAAATTACACCAAGTGAGTTTTCCCCTTTTCTGCAACAAATAACTTCTTGAACATTATGCAAACTTTATTATGCTGATAGTGTGGTGGGCATAACAAGGACAACTAGAATGCTTACATGTTGGCCAGTTAAATCCAGATGAAGCATTAAATGTGTTGCTGTGAATTTCTTCTAAGAAATGCACTTATATAATTAAAACAATTAATTATTAGAAATGTAGATCTTAGGACCATGATGGCGAACCTATGGCACACAGAGTCCTCTCTGTGGGCATGTGTGCCATCTTCAGCTGCTCTTCATGGGCGCCAGAGCACTGGAATATGCCCAAACACCAGGCAATTATTCGGGCTGTTTTCAGGCCATTTTTCGGGTGGAAAACTGGCCTGAAAAACTGGCCTGAAAATGATACAAAAATGACGCAAAAAACTGCCAAAAACCAGACATGCACACCAGCCAGGTGGTCTTCGAGTTTCCAGCACTCCAACATGCACATATGCACAGACATGCACGCGCATTCCGGTTTGGGCACTTGGTGCTGAAAAGGTTCGCCATCATTGTCTTAGGATAGTGTTTCTCAACCTTGGCAACGTGAAGATGTCTGGACTTCAACTCCCAGAATTCCCCAGCCAGCAAATGCTGGCTGGGGAATTCTGGGAGTTGAAGTCCGGACATCTTCACGTTGCCAAGGTTGAGAAACACTGTCTTAAGGTCTCTCAGGTTGAGAAACATTGATGTAAGCCATTGAATTTGACTTCCTGTCAATGCAAATCTCAATCCTAGTAACTGTGACGGATAGCTATCCAACTTCTGCTGGAAAATACAGGAAAGCACATTTTTCTCCTGTAACTGGTTCTTTTGCAAATTTGTCCTTACTATTAAGATTAACATTGGACATCAGCGTTGCTCTGATTGCAAACTACTCTTACGTGTCTTTTGCAACCTCTTCATCCTTCCACCCTTTAAGTCTGTGTTTATAAGGTGTGTCTATATGGTTATTGAATTAATACATTCTCTTAATCCAACAATTAACTGACAGGGAGATGTGTTTTTGAGCTAAATTGATAGATACAAACTAATAAGAGAGCAAATCAGGTATAGACAGTCCTCAACCAAGGGCCACAGTTGAGCCCAAAATTTCTATTGC